GGAAACAGCCCAAGTGCCCATCAATAGATGAGTGGCTAAAAAAGCTGTGGTACATTTACACCAGGTAATACTGTGCAGCTGTAAAAAGAAGGCTCACTTATACTTTGGGACAGCATGGATGGAACTGGAGAGTATTATGTTAAGCGAAATAAGCCAGTCAGGAAAAGACAAGTATCACATTATTTCATTCATATGAGGAATATAATGAACAAAATAAACTGATGAAAAAGATAGATCCAGAAACATAGAAGCATGGAACAGACTGACAAATTTCAGAGGAAAGGCAGGGGTGGGAGTGGTGGGGAGAGATTAATCAAAGAACTTATATGCATATATGCACAACCCATGGATACAGACAATAGTATGGGAAGGCCTGGGGCGGGCGGATGCGAGGTGGTGGGGATCAATGTGGGGGGAGGAAAGGGGACATCTGTAATAGTTTCAACAATAAAGATAATTTTTTTTTTTTAAAGAATAAGTCAGTCTTCCACACCCATTCCATTCTTCTTCTCCTTAAGTTTGTTTATAAGTTTGACCCTCAGCACTACTGGCTCTTGGGTGGATTTCACAGTTTCTCCCCTAAGTATATGTAAGTGAGAAGATTCTAGTTAATTCTCCTACCCTGCTTTCTACTGTGAACCTTCTTCAGATTTGCCCCTGAGGTGACCCAGGAAGAATCCTCAACCTTCAAGCTTTGATAACCTGTGCCTCCTGAGAAGGTGCAAAGAAACTCAACATACTCAAGACTGGTTACTTGAGTTGAGAACCTAAATATAACCATTATAAATATAGTTATGCAGCAAGTATAATCTGATGTAATGGAAGAGTCATAGGCTTTGGGGCTAAATAGACCTGGCTAGCATTCAAATTTACCATGTGCATGACTTTGGGAAAGTTATATAATTTCCCTGATTCTCAATTTCCTTTTCTGTATATTAGGAGATTTACTAGGAGAACCAAGTAAAATAATCTGTATAAAGGCTTAATGCTGAACCTGGAACAGATTAGGTACAATAAATATTAAACTACAGCATATTTATTTTTGGGTCTGTGTATCCAAGGTCAAAAAATAACTTCAATAAATATGTTTGTGTATCATCTAAACGTTCATGTTTGGGTAAGTACTTTTGTTCACATGAAACTTCTAGGTTGATGGATAAATCATTTCACATGCCAGACAGAGAATAAAGGGGCTTGATAATTAGGCCTTTCTTCCAGCTTCTATTCAGTTATTCTTATATTAATTACTAGGAGTAGCATGTGATGGAGAACATGAGAGGAAAAATGTTTAGTTTCACCCCAATCTTATTCATACCATAACACTTGTTTGAAGCATTGTTTACTTCAATCCAACAATAATTTATTGAGAATGTTACACTCTTATATGATACAACTGGAGTGAATTGTACTTTTATACACTAATTCAAATACATAGAATATAGTCATTGAAGCAACCAACAAAACATATTTTCAAAAATTAAGTCAACAGAACCAGAAGCTATGTATAAAATTGTTTCCCAAAGCTCCAAGTGCTCTCATTGAGAGAAACTGCCTCAAAGATATCTTAAAAGATAATTATTTAACTATCTTATTCATATTTCTGAGCAAATTATTTTCACCCCCAAACTGTTGTGGGTTTCTATAAGAATACACAGAAAGGTAGGTAGGTAGATACATAGATAGATAATAGATGATAGATGATACATAGATAGATGATAAGTAGATGATAGGTGACAGATAGATGATAGATAGATGATAGATGATAGATAGATAGATGATAGATAGATAGATGATAGATGATGATAGATAGATGATAGATGATAGATAGATAGATGATGATAGATGATAGATAGATGATAGATAGATAGATAGATAGATAGATAGATAGATAGATAGATAGATAGATAGATGATAGATAGATAGATGATAGATAGATAGATAGATA